TTTTTTTTTTCAAAAATGGGATTTTTTTCGAAAATTGTGCTGATTGTACAGATTTTTAAAAAAAATGTACGGATCTTTAAAAAATGTACGGATTGGTTTAAAAAAATGTACGGATTGTACGGATTTAAAAAAAAAAAATTGTACGGATTGTACGGATTGTTTTTCGAAAATTGTACGGATTGTACGGATTTCTTCTGAAAATGTACGGATTTTTGTACGGATTTGTTCAAAAAAGTTTTGGCCACTCTGTGGATCCTAAGCACTAAAATAAATTTGTAAAATATTTTAATCCTAACTTCATCTAGCAGTGATATACTAGTTTTTTCAAAACCAGGCCATCCTAACTTTTTCATATCCCACCAATTCTAGTTTCACCTTGAACCCAACCTAAGTTTATCCTGAACCCAATCTTAGTTATCTGTCCTAACTTAATCTTGCAGTGATATCTTATGTTCAGGATTAAAGATAAATAATTTATATGAATTTTTAAATTCTAGATTCCCAATTTCAAGAGGTTTTTTAAAAAAAATTATTCTAGGTCCCAGGACTAGTGTGTAAATTGAACCTGGATTACCGTCAAGCTCTATTCCTATTCAACAATGGATGGGATTATAATTTAAAACTAGGTAATTATTTTTAACTTATCCTTCTCCCTGACTCAGACTTACTCAAGGACTTGTCCTTTCTCCATGATTTATCGTTTATTAAGGACTTATCCTTGCTTACAGATTCTTCCTAAAACCAGAACTTATCCTTACTCACGGACTCAATCCTTACTCCAGGATTCATCCTTACTTCTGGACTAAATTCTTACTTAAGGATTGAGTCCTGGAGTAAGGTTTGAGCCTATAGCAAGAATTTAGTGATGGATTAATAATTAAGTAATGTAGTAAGGATTGAGTCAGTTCAGTTAGGAATGAGTTTTTGGGAAAGGAGTAAGGATTAAGTTCATTGAGAAATAATTAAGTCCTGGAGAAAGGATCTAGGAGTAAGGATAGAGTCTTGAACTAAGGATGATTGAATCCTTACTCCGGGACTCGATCCTTGCTCCAGGACTCGATCTTTTTTCCAGGACTCTATCTTTATTCCAGGACTTAATCCTTATTTCAGGACTCAATCCTTACTTTAGGACTCATCCTGTAATGATTAAGTCCTTAAATAAGAAAGAGTCCTGAAGCAAGGATTGAGTCCTTCAGTAAGCATTTGTTATAGTTTCTCAAAACCCACTTATCCTTGCTTACAGATTCTTCCTAATACTAGAACTTATCCTTACTCCAGGATTCATCCTTACTCCTGGACTCAATTCTTTCTTCAGGATTGAGTCCTGGAGTAAGGTGTTAGTCCTATAGCAAAAAGGTGATGGTGGAGTTTGCACATTTGAGATAGGGGGGGCCTGCCTTCATTTTTGGTTCAAATCTTCCAATTTTTTGGGTACATGCCTAAATAGTTACAGGATAAAGATAAAAGTATATAGAACTAGGGTGTACAGGATAAGGAGAAAAGTATAGAGAACTAGGGTTACAGGATATAGAGAGAAGTATAGAGAACTATGGTTTACAGGATATAGAGAGAAGTATAGAGAACTAGGGTTTATAGGATATAGAGAGAAGTATAGAGAACTATGGTTTACAGGATATAGAGAGAAGTATAGAGAACTAGGGTTTATAGGATATAGAGAGGAGTATAGAGAACTATGATTTATAGGATATAGAGAGAAGTATAGAGAACTAGGGTTTATTGGATATAGAGAGGAGTATAGAGAACTAGGGTTCACAGGATAAAGAGCAAACTATAGAGAACTAAGGTTTACAGGATATAGAGAGAAGTATAGAGAACTATGGTTTATAGGATATAGAGAGAAGTATAGAGAACTATGGTTTATAGGATATAGAGAGAAGTATAGAGAACTAGGGTTTACAGGATAAGGAGAAAAGTATAGAGAACTAGGGTTTATAGGATATAGAGAGAAGTAGAGAGAACTAGGGTTTATAGGATAAGGAGAACAGTATAGAGAACTAGGGTTTATAGGATATAGAGAGAAGTATAGAGAACTAGGGTTTACAGGATAAGGAGAAAAGTATAGAGAACTAGGGTTTATAGGATATAAAGAGAAGTAGAGAGAACTAGGGTTTATAGGATAAAGAGAAGTATAGAGAACTAGGGTTTACAGGATTAGCAGAACAGTATAGAGAACTATAGTTTACAGGATAAAGAGAAAAGTATAAAGAACTAGGTTTATAGGATAAAGAGAAAAGTATAGAGTACTAGGGTGTACTCCAGGATTCGATTTTTACTCCAGGACTTATCCTTAGTTCAAGACTCTGTCCTTACTTCAGGACTCAATCATGAAGTAAGGATCGAGTCTGGGAGTATGGATTAAGTCTGGGAGTAAGGATCGAGTTCTTCATCGAGCAGTAATAAATTATGTTCAGGATTAAAGAGAAATAATTTCTATGTAAACCATGAAGAAAAAGTTTTACCTAACTTTTATATTATTAGATGGAAAAGAAAGAAGAGATGGATGAATGTTTGTTCCTTCCATCAGATGTCTGACAATAATGATGATACAATTTGTTTCAGATTGAGCAATTAAATTTTAAATTGTTTATTTTAGTTAATAAAATAGTGTATTATGCACTTCTAATTTTTGAAAAAGACGGATATGTATTAGACCTTGCCTAAAAATTAATATGAAAATTTAGAGCAGTGTTTCGGATCCATATCATTTTGATTCAGATCCGCGGATCCGCATCCGTGATGATGGATCCGGATCCTGATACGGATCCGGATCCGAGGTAACTTTTGATTCTGTGAATCGGATTTTCCCTATTAAATGTTATGCAAGGTTATAATTTATAAACTATATTTATTATATATTCCGAAACCGGGCGAAATGTAACAATTAATTTATCATTAATTTACTATTATATAAATGTAAACATTAAATTATTAAAGATAATTTTGAAAAATTTTCGTCATGTAAAATGTAAATAATACATTTACGATCCATTTTGATTTATTTATTCCATGGTTTTGGTTAATTTTTGCCGCTACCCGGTTCCATATCAACTTTTCCTGATACGGATCCGGATCCGACCAAATGATACGGATCCGGATCCGAAACTCTGATTTAGAGATTATAGATTATAGTTTTTACAATTAATTATTAATTATTTATTTTCCAAGGTGGTTTGGCCTTTAAAAACAAAATGATGGTTGATTTTTTTATTTAGTTCATTTTAATCATACCTATGCTTATGACCACTCAAAATTACAACTTATTAAGGTTTATAGTAAGTGCACTTGGTTAAATAGCAGCTTTTTATCTGCAATAGGTCAAATACAAAGTTTTGTAGATTTTTTGTATAATTTCGTAAGCTGCAGAGACGACTGAACGGAATTATAGTTTATTGTTGGTTATTTTGTAAGGTTGCTTCTATTTCAACAAAATAATCGATTTTTTTATATATTAATTGTAGTTGATTAATGTGGAAGGTGCTACCGCTTTTATTGCAACAAAATAATCGATTTTTTATATATTCATTGTTATCATATTCATGCTAAAACCCACAGAATCAGTTATTTCTCAATTAATCACAACTTTTGTTGTTTGGTAATAGAAAAATGAGTCCTCGAAAAATATTGCAATGTAATGAGTGTGGGTACACAACGGCCCGAAGAAGTAATTTAACAGCACACAACCTGAGGAAGCATTTGGGGCCAGAGAGTTATCCCTATGTTTGCATCGCGTGTGACCTTAGATGCCCTTCTCTTCAGGATATAAATCGACATCAGCTGGCAGCCCATCCAGGTAAGAAAATACCAAAAGGTTGAAGTCCAATCATAGCACTGAATGACTTTCACTTAATTTGAGTCTAAAAGTCGACTTTCTTTTTCAGAGTTTTCCGTTTATCACTGTATCCCTGGTAAAGGTATTCCCTGGATTCCTATCTTTTGTTTGATATGCATAAAGCCATAGTTCAACATTTTAATTTTTTGAGGTCATTTAGGTCATTAGAAGATTAAACACTGGATTTGTTGCTGCTGCTGTATTCCCTGGGTTCCTTAGCTTTCATTTGATACCAAAAGGTTGAGGTCCGATCATAGCACTTTCACTTAATTTGAGTCTAAAAGTCGACTTCCTATTTAAAAGATTTCCGTTTATCACTGTATCCTTGGTAAAGGAAGATAAAGGCATTACATTTTTTCTATTTCCCATTTTTTAGCACCAGACGTCATTGAAGCCGGGAGGTTTACAGAGACCATGGAAATGGCCGACATGGTTGTGTCTTGTACAGTGGAGATATGGTTTTGGTGTCTCCCATCCAACCGCTTCACGGAAACTCCAGATCTTCTCTACTCGCAGAAGAAGGCGTCCCTGACCCTTCTGAATGAGTTCAGGTCCGGGGGCTTGACTCTTCAGGAGGCCACGGAGGCCATCATTGAGGAGATCATCCGCAAGAGATTTCCTAGCATGGACCAGGAGCTTTCAAGCTTTGCTAGGTAGGGTCTATCATTGGAAATAAAAAACTTTCCACTGGGGAAAAAACTACATTAAAAAAATTGGGATTATTACAGTCACGCAACTAAATGAGTTCTGATAGTAGTTGAAAAGGTCTCGAAAAACGTATTTTGGCGTTTTTTTCAAAAAAGTTTGTCAAAAGTTGTTGATATTTTTGTGCTCTAAAAAAACGGAAACAATTTACCAACTTACTGTTACCATAGGATCATTGAATTTATTTGAGGAATACATGAAATGAAGCATTATTTTTAACCAAACCCCTTTAACAGGAAAATGGTCCAGGGCATTCTGGA